GCAGAGGGCATGTAAGAGTGCTCAAAGCCGGAAGGGTTTAGTGTTCCAGATCTTGTTTAGCCCGCAAAAAAATCGCAAACTATCGTTATTTTCAGCCCTCAAAATTTGGCCGCAGACTCGAAGTAGATAACGAGTATTTTCGCCGGATTTGACTCGGACTCGATAATTCAAAGTCCGATCGGACGCGCGACATACTCTCCGCCAATCGACCGGAGATCGACCGGAGATTGACCGGTCGAATGACGGACCGACCCTCCAATTGTCCGGAGGTCGCCAACCTCATATAACTCAATAACTGGCCTGTGAAACGGCTTCAACAACCCTCGTGTTTTCAAACACCACCAAACTTGTTGGAAATGTTTCTACTTGTGCACCAGTGCCCTATCCAGATTAGCCTTGTGAGGGAAAAAGAGGGCGCTTCCGTCCCAAAAGCCATACAAATTCTACATGCATTGGATTGTGTGCATCACATCAACGTCATCAAAGTCACTCACCGGCATGCTTGAGGTGGTGGCGCGCACGATCCTATGCAGATTCTAGAAAAATAGAAATCTCTGCGCTAGGTGTCCTTGACATGTAAGCAGGTTTAAGCCACTAAGCAAGAAGCGACCTTAATTTGAGCTGTTCATTCCAGAGGGTTTCCGCCCTGAAAAGTTAACGTCTGCAACGTTGAGAAATACCATGCAACAGGAGGTGTTTGGAAACACCATGTTTTCTGCAGGTGAGACCTTGAAGGTCACGTCTGCTTGTGCACTCATGTGCTTGCTGACTTGAGTGTCTTCTTGCTGACAGCAGCAATGATGTAATCGGGAAGCGCCTCATTCGCCTTCATGCCCGCTTTGCGACGTAGCATGCGGCGTGCATTTTCGTGAAACCACTCAATCCTGTGCAGCGATGTCTCCTTCCGTGGAAACCAAGCGGGCAGCTCTGCCAACTTTGACATGATGACGGCCCCATCCAGAGGGCTAAGTCCCTTATCCTTCACAAACCGTTGGACATCTCGCCTCCACGAGGCGTGCTTGGCCGTCCACCATACTTCTAAAAGTTGCTTTACTGAGTTTGTTGCCAATTTGTTCCCAGATCATCCCATCCCTTGCCACCGTTATCACAAGTTGCTCAGTGGCGGTTATGCTCAAATCTCACCCTCTACCCATTGTTTTTGCACGAGCAGGCTCTGACTTACTTCATGCTTGGACGTTTCCCTGAAGCTCCTCGAAATCTGGTCATTCTTGCTGCTAAGGGAACGGATGGGCCCAGCGGGGCACCACGTCCAAGTATAGGGGGCAGCGAAAGGCATGACGGCACGGCTGGTTGCTGAGGCGCCTTCGATTTTGGGGAGGAAATCCAGGTTTGAAGTTTATCACTCTGCTCGGCTCTCTCAACCTAGCATTTGAAGTTTCAAATTTTTACCGCCAGACTTGGCGGCAGCGGCGAGCGATCTCGGTCGTCCGTTGTGCCACACTGGCACTTTTCCTGACACATATCGACCACACGCAAAAGTCGGTTGCCAGCGTGGCACAACGGACGGCGAGGATCGCGCGTTTTCGGCGCCAAGTCTGGCGCATCGACTACCGTACCAGCCTTGCCACGGTATGCAGAGTGCCAAAAGTATCAACTTGAAGTGGATACTGTTAAAGTGACAAGGTGAAGGCGCTCAGGCTCGCCAACCATTAGCCGCCATGCCTCTCCCTTCCCTTTGCTCAATCTGTCCTGCCGCGCCCGATCCGTCGCTCAGCACACCCGGGATTTTGTCGCAGCGGAGGAGAAGGCCTGGTCCAAAGTACTGCTCCAAAGTACTACTCCAAAGTACTGGGTGTCATGTCCTGCCGGCCCCGTTCGGCCGCATAGCAAGGCAGTTGAGCAGAAGCTGAGGAAGGCCAGAGAGCCGTTCAAGCATGAAGTAGCAAAGTGCCCAATCGTTCAAAAAGAATGGGTTGACGGTGAGATCCTGAGCATTGCAAGCAGTGAGGTACTTGAAATAATAGTGACAAAAGATGGTAGAATCTGGAGACGCAGAGGTGGCAACATATCCAGGCGGCAGCTTGACGACGGTTGGTGGAGGACCCATCACCCCGAGTGGAGGCAACAGGTCAAGCGATTTGTCAAGGATGAGGGTCTTGGCCCTCTTGATGAGGCCATGATCATGGCAAAGGTGGCAGAGCTGCCCGCTTGGTATCCGTACAAGTTGAAAACGCAATCGCGGATAGGGAGGCGTTTTCACTTCGTCGCAAGAGACATGATCAAACATCGTAGAGCGGGAAGGTCACTTGCCAAGGTGGATAAAGATCCACTTCCACAAATCCTTGTGGCTACCCTGACCAACCAGGAGCTCGACTTTCTGGAGTTATGAGCGCATACGCAGACATTTGTTCCTGCTGAAAACTTGGTGTTTTCCAACACCCCCTACTTACAGAGAGATTTTCAATAATGCAGACGGTTGCTCCTCTAGGGAAATTGTATTGCGCATGAGATCCTAGACTCCCAGCGAGGGGTTAATTATTGGATGTTGCGCGCCCAAGGCGTGGCCAATGGTGCCGTGTGAGCTTGCAACATGGAATATCATGTCCACTTCTCCAGATGTCCAATAACCATGGCATGCTTGAATTGGTGGCGCGCAAGATCCTATGCAAGATTCAATGATATGAAGCTATTTATGATAGCCCGCCAGAGCTGGCGGGCTCCTAGAGCGGTCTTAGTCGTCGATGATGCCAAGCTGGCAATTGTATCGCCAAGTGTCGGCACATGGTTGAATTGGCTGTTTCAATTGGGCTTGGCGCCTGGCGGCTTACAGTACTTGAGGCCGTCGATCATCCCGGCGTGTATCGGATCGACGTGGCACAATTGACGATGAGAGACCTTACAATAATTTGGCGTGCAATGCATGAATTGTGCCAATTGTCGATTTTAAATCACTTTTCGGTTACTTTTGCGGCGCCATGTTACATTGTTAGGGGTGGCCTCCTAAGGAACTTGGAAGCAGAGGCACCTCATTTTATCGTGCCCAGTGCTTTTATCGACGACCCTTCGCTATGACTGGCTTCCCAAAGTACTTCTGCTTGTCACCTGACGGTCCCATTAAGATGGTGCGTAGGAAGGAGGAGGCAGCATACAGGAGGGGCGTCAGAGAGGGAATAAGGTACAAGTTAACAGAGTTCCCAGCGACTATGCAAGAAGAATGGATAGAGGGGGAGCTGTTGAGCATCTGCAAGGGTGAGCGCACCCTAGTAACAATGAGTAACACTGGGGCAATTTGGCGATGGAAGTTGGGATCCCGCAAAAAGCTGTTGGACGATGATTGGTGAAAGGCCCACCACCCTGATTGGAGGAGTGTTGTGAAGCTGTTTGTCCAACGCGAGTCGCTCGGGCCGGTTGATGAGGCTATGATCACATGTGGCAAAGGTGGCAGAGCTGCCCGCTTGGTTTCCAAAGACTAGCAAGTGGGTCACACAGTCTAGGCGTAGACGTTTTGACCTTGACAGCGCAGAAATCATACGACGCAGAACGGGGGCTTGGAAGACGCTATTGAACTCCTACATACCTCCTTTTAGCACTTCGACCGGAGAGGATCAATGCCAGTGACTGCAATACTGAACAAGCAAGGGTGACCCCCTGATGGAATTTGTATTCCTCCTGTCTGTTCAATTTTCTTTGGGCAGATCTCCCTTCTCACTGCAGATTTGTAATGCGCATGAGTTCCTATCAACGAAGACGGGGCTGTAATATTGGATGTTGCGCGCCTAAGGCGGGGCCAATGTTGCCGTATCTCATTATGGCGCACGCAATCTGATACAGACGCTTTGCAAGCCGCCGCCGGAAGGCCCGCGCCATGTGAGCTTGCACATGAAATACCATGTCCAGTTCTCCAGATGTCCAATGACCATAGAGTCTGGCCCGCTACTTGGCATGCTGTGACATGTTTGAGGAGAACAAGGTTGTATAGCATCGTTGCAATGTCGAGCACAATTACACCATTGAATATACACACTGCTCAAATATGTAAAGTGCAGCTTTGTTCTCTTTGTACGTCACTACATCAGATCCAGCACGACTGATTCTGTGGCAAAAATCACAAGTCGCTGTACAATTGCACTACTTAGCTACTATTATTATGTGGACAGCTGACGAAGCTACTGTAAAGTCCATCTTCAAACTTTCTACCCCTCTTCCGCCGTCTTCTCCCCCCCGGTCTTTTCTCCCGCCGTCTTCTCCCCCCCGGTCTTTTCTCCCGCCGTCTTCTCCC